GGTGGTGGTGGTGGTGGTGTTGGCAGTTGTGGTGGTGGTAGTATCGCTTACCATTTGTAGCCTGCTCCCAAGTAGAATAAAGGTGTGGACGCACGGTGCAACATTTCATGCAACATTTCACGCAACAGGACTGTTGCAGCTTGTGTCTACCCCTGAAACTTGTTGCATGCAACGTTGCATACAACAAATCTGAAGTTGAACCGCGCTCTACTCTTGCAACATTGCGAGTAACAAATGTCATCGTGTGAACATGGCTGCAACATTGRTTGCAACGTTTTGAAATTTCCAGCTAATCAGCTTGCTCCAAATGATATAACTGCTRACCAAATATCCTAGCATAGCAGGCTGACATAAGCGATGTTGCGTGATCTTGTTGCAATGTGTGTCACTCGGATTCAAATTTGTTGTTTTCAATGTTGCGTGCAATGTTGCACCGTGTGTCAGCACCTTAAAATGCAATAAATAAGTACAATATTTGCAAATGATTTTTTTTCAAACAGAGACATTAAAAGTAATCTTATAAAGGAATTGTCGCAAAACCTGCTACGAGGGTTGACGCAGCTCACATATTTGTAAGTACAATACAATACTAAGATTTAAGATATTCACAGTTGAACCAAAATCCTACTTGATATCTTATGTCGATCTATTTGTATACTACACATTGCAATTAAATAAAACAAATATACGAATATATTGCTTTTAAGGATCGCTGGATCTAATCAATGTGTCAACAGTTTATATTTGTGAAGAATTCCTAAGAATCAGTAGCAAAAAAAGATAATAAAAAGATTGGACTATTTCATTAATGTATTGGCTGATTATCCAGATTATCATATGTAGCGTTCTGACAAGACTGACAATTTTTACTATGGTAAATTTCTCTCGCGCAGTTTGGCTTTACCATCAATAAGAGGACAGACAAATACGCTGACGTCAACGAAGGCGCTCTTTCCGTTCATACGGCTGTTTTGCTTACTAAAACCAGAAGATTTAATCGTTTATTACTGTTTTTATTGCTAAACGCTGTTCGAGACAACAGTTGTGACATGGGGAGCAGGTAATACCCTTCCCAGTAGACCGAGGCAGTTCAAATCGACCACGTGAGGCCAATATTGTACCACGTGGACAATTTTTTCACACCACGTGATCAAAATTCAGTCTCGGTCTATCGGGAAAAGTAGTAATAGATTACCGTAAAAAAAATTGTTCTCTGCGTTTACATACCCTGATTGACAGCAGTGTATTGCCCAATATCCATATCACGCTGTTGTCTCGATTAGCTCGACAACACTGGTAAATTTTTGTTGTTGTCTTTTTGTTAATTTGTTAAATTGAAAGTATCTCATCTATGTTTCAGTTCTTTTGGCCAAAACAAGCTACAGTATTTGCCTGATCAATTCTTTGAAGACAACATAAATATTGAATTATTGTAAGTACTTAATGCGACAGATAAAATATATGTTTATAAAATACAACAAACTGTCTAGTGGAAAGATTACTATTACTTTACATCTCCTCATTTAATTATTTACAGGAGCTTAGGGATGAATAATGTGTCTGCAATTGACCTCAAAGGAATGAAAAAAATATCAATTCTGTAAGAAGACCATTGTAGTATAATCATCATTATTATTATTATTCTGGAAATTATAAAGTGAAATTGCAAATAAGTAAAAAAAAATGTTAAAAAAAAAGCACATTAGGCAGGATATTTAGCAATGTCAACCACTCGTGCAGTTATTTTTGCTCCATGACTGTAAAATAAAAACTTTTCTGAGCAATCCTTTAGCAACAAACAGTCACGTGCTGATATATTACTTTGCTAACGAATCAATTCAGCCGAAGGTCCCTTGGGAAAGGCTCTGCTGGATGACAAACAAACTTTAAACTTCTTGGTATCTTGAAATCGAAAGTATCTTATAAGGAAAAAAGTATTTTTTTCAAAYGGCTTTGGATACGACATAAGTAATCCAGCAAAAAAATCTAAAAATAAAGTAATTCCAAATTTTTTGCTATCCAGTAACAATCATGTGTCAATCTATTGAAAAGTACCATTCAAGTCCTTACAAGATTATTAATATTTTGAGCAATGTTTTTTATTTTTATTCTTATCAAAACAAATAATTCCCAATAACAATTTTAATACTATTTTGTTAATTTCATTAGGCATGGTCTTGAATTTAGGTGTATATGTATTTTATATATGATCTTTCCTAAATATCAACAGGATCGTTCACCAAAATGGCATAACATCAAAATCACTTACTCGCGCAGTCTTGAATAAGTTGACGCAGATAAACTCTCTGTAAGTGGATTTAAAATGTATTCCAAACGGTCAACTTTATGTTATAAGATTCACATATGAATCGCGAAAACCGATTTACGAAGTCAAAGAAATGCTTATATATGAAAGCATGGAACTTGAATTCTCAGGGAGCAATTTGCCAAACGTTTTACAAGACTTATAATTATTTTAGGCCTAGGGCAAACGTCGAACTTTCCATGCACCGAACTTAATTACATCAAAGAATGCCGCCTCATTATCACATGATATCCATTGTTTTTAATGAGTTCGGTGCATGGAAAGTGGCCTTAGACCGGACGTTATCAAGGAATAGGCTCATTTGGTAACTGATGAAACTCATGGAACCGATGTTGAGGTTTTTCACTTTGGCGTCACTGTATTAAACAAAACGTTTTTCGTTTTATAAGAAAAACATATATACAGTAAAAATTGTGCACATAGATATTAGCAAACTTGTAAAGTTTCGTGAAGATTCTCCATATAATCCAGAGACTTTTTAAGTTTTTGAACTTACAATTTTTACAAAGAAATGTACATTGGCTGGCAAATTTTGACCACCATATTTCTTTGTAAAATTTCATGTTTAACAAATCATATCTCCAATGGCTTGCGTGCGATCTTCGCTAAACTTGCATGAAGACATGGAACAAGTGTTATCTAATTTCTTCCTTTCCTTCACATTTATATTTAGTTTTGCATCGTACAACAAACTTGAAGACATCTCAGACTATTCGTTTCTGAGAAGTTCTCATTTACTCTACCTGTGAGTAAACTGGAAACGTGATCAATTTTGATGATTATTTGTTACGACTAAAAGCGAACGATTAAATGGTTTTCTCATGCAATGTGGCTAATAGAGTTTGTAAAATGAAATAAACATCAAAATACTGATCACAGAGTGAATGCTTTGAACCCTGGAGAGCGTAGAAGTTAGTTGTGAAGTGTGATCGTCCGAGGGAGTGTAGTCTTGAGAAAGATTGTTGCTGGGGGTGGGAGTGTAGTCTTGAGAAAGACTGTTGCTGGGGGTGACTAATGTTTCGACAACCTGAGAGGAAGTCATCTTCAGAGTCCAGTGAGAAAACGAAAGACAGTCGATGATATTTTTAAAATACTGATCAGCAAAAACTTTAAAGAAAATCGAATCGTCAATATTTTTTTGATTTTTTCCTTATTTCTTTTAACAAGTATGTTGAACAATAACAAAGTAAAGCGGATAACAAATCGAACATTTTATGGAGCCTCTCAACTAGAAATACTGTGAGTGATAGCGCGTACAGTTTCGTCCTCTGCTCTTATTACATTAAGATTACTTTACCTTGTGTTAAGCTAATAGTGAAAGTCTTTTCAATATAAACCAAAATACATTCTTTAATAAAATAATATAAATCCACATTAGGGTGGTACTTTGAAGTTTGCCGGGTTCCACAACCAGTCATCTCTATCAACTATGTCTCAAATAAGTGTAGTTTAATAACCCTGGGGGGGGGGGGGGTACTACCACCCCAACTTGGGTAGGGGTGTGCCGCCAGGATTTCAAAACCCTGACCCTATCCCAGACCTAAAATTTTGATTTTACATACCCTACCCCAGACTAAAACTAAAAATTGTACGCCCTATCCCAGACTAAATGACGGAAATGACGGTTATTCAATGGATTGCAATCAATATTTATTAACGTTTTTATAGTTTTTGTGCCGACAGAAAGCGTAGCCTATTCGCCAGACATAAATGATACCCTATCCCAGACAAAATGTCAAAAAATGATACCCTACCCCAGACCCAAACCCTATAGGGCGGCACGTACCCGTATAGCAAATATAGGGGAGTACCGGATCAAAACATATCTTTCTCACTCTTTTTCAATAATGTATTTCTTACAGATTTCTTTCAGATAATCCAATAGAATACATTGCCAAAAGAGCTTTCTTCACTAATTCAAACTTGAAAAACTTGTAAGAACTGAATTATTAACGTTAGTCAACTGAGACAGTTTGTTGAATTGTTTCAGTTCATAACGTAAATACATATTGGTTTTTGACATTTATTCAGGCACCTAGTGCAAACCAAGATCAAGAGCGTCAACATGGAGTGGTACCATTCATCTATCTACAGTATTGGAGCAGCTGTACATATGTAGGAAATTAAAACGAAATAGACCTTAGTTGTCTTGGTAAAATGTTTTTCCATTACAGACCACTTTTCTTTCCCCAAAGAATAATTTCCTTGTGTAACGGTTGCGCATAAGAAGACACATGAAGATAGATAACTCAAAAAAAAGGCACGTGTGATGTAATGGGGAAACATTGCAGCCTAACGAATAAGATCTATTCAATTAGTTTAATGTATTGAATTGTTGAATCCCCATTGCCCGGCATTATGGGCACGCAAATGACCCCAAAATTGGCAATGTTGGGGTATTTTCAAAATTACAAGTCAGACCATCAACAATCTTGGCAAGAATATCAGGGTTGAGCTAGCAAAAAGGATTTGAAAACTGCATTGATGAAACTATAGAAGTTCATCCATCTTTTTGCATTCGTAACAACGTTGCACTAAAATTTGTACATGAACTACACTAGTAATGATCTAAAATCGTATATTTTTTTTAGATTTTTGAATCATCAAGTCCAAACGCTATAATTAAGGAGAGAAATAATGCAATACGTCATTATGCCGTCACATGAATTTTAAAATGCTTATATAAGTTTACCCAATAAGATTTTTGCAGATGTTTTTGCATAGCGACACTTGTTTAGGGCTAAATAACAATTATGGTCAGAGAAGTGACTCGTTCTACAACATTTACGAGAATTTATTTATTCAAGATGGCGTCCAATTTGGATGACGTCACAAAATGCTTTAATATTTAATAAATTTAGTTAGAAACGTCACAACGAGTTCCTTAAACATTGAACTGTTTTGCACAACACTCTCCATCTGATAAAGTGAAATGATAAAAACAGCGATCAACGATATGAAATTACCTTAATAAGAGATGCCGAATATGACGTCATAGAAACGTCATAACCCCTTGAAAATGAGATAATTTTTTAAACTCTCACTTCCCCGATATCCTTTGAAAATTTCAGTTTATTTGGACGTCAAATAATAAAATAAATAGGTATTCTTTATTTGGTGCCGTTTTCTCTAGCCGCGTATTTGGGGTCATTTGTGCCCAACGTGCTAGCTTCTCGCTCATGGTAACTCGGCTTTAAAGGCGACTTGTACACCAAGTGACAGAAAAAACCAGTGCTCCTGGGAACCAATTAGACACTGTTTAACAGCCATTAGTACTGTCTGCAACACTTCTCGGGCTGAAAATGACCCATGGTCGTTGTATAACTATTGATGTAATTTCTTAATGTGAAATTTTTTTTTTCTTTATTTCTAAGATATTCAACCGAGGAACCACAAGAGTTCGAAATTCCCTCATCAGTCGAAAATATTTTCAGCACTACGGGATTCAGATGCAGAGAAAATAATGCATTTTCATACTGTGCACCGTGTTTGTTTGGTAGCTATATTTTCTTCGATGTTTCCATCAATAAATTCGGTTGCGTTGGTTGCCCTGCAGGTACAGTAAATGGATTATGTGTAACTGAAAATAGCGAGGAAATAGAAAACGCGCGCGCGTGCTGTGTGCAGTTATAAAGCACGCGGGGGTTGGGAGAACACGAGAGAAGTGTTAGGAGAAGCACGACGTGTAGAGAAGTGCTTCTCAACACTTCTCGAGTTTTCTGCCAATACCCAAGTGCTTTATAATTGCGAGCAGCACAGCGAACAAGTTTTTTAATTCTTTTATAAAATACAAATTACAATAACCATTATTATGGATAGGAATCCCACCTCTTTTTGCTTTATAAAATTTCTACTTTTGCCCCATCGGCATCCCATAATGGCCGCCGTATCAGTGAAATGGTGTATTGATTGAGGATATATTTTCAGGTGGCTTCTATGAGGATTCACTTGCGTACTACGGTGAAAGAGCGCACGGTAATGGATGTAAGATGTGTGACAACGGTACGTTTGTGCACATAAAAACTGCACCAGGGAAACGAAAGGACGACTGCAGACCATGTCCCGAAGGTATCAATAACTAAATATGTTTATTCATTATAAGGTATAAGCTTAATTTGAACTTATCGAGATGCTAGAAGAGATAAACGTATTAATCATATCCTTTTTGTAATCACTACCAAATCCTGCTATCTGATTGGTTCATAGGAGTGCGATTAATTCCCAAATCGCATCCTTAGGAGCTCGTAATCGCATCCTAAAAAATTATTTTTTTGAAACAAAAAATAAAACAAAAAAATCAACAACAAMAAAAAAATGTTTTAAGATGTTTTTTTTGTTCGCATTTAGTTCTTATACTACATTAAATTGATTATTCTGCACTCTTTATTGTGTCTTTTTCTTGTGTGTGATTACAAAAAGGATATGAACTTCGTGTCGTGCAATTTTGGTCTGAAATCAAACTTGCAATTACAAATCGCGCGTTTGATTTCAGACCAAATTGCACTCCACTCAGTTCAATTACCATTATTAATAATTTTAATAAGTGTATAATTTCAAACACTCCAGTATTAAATTTTCAGTTCTACAGTGTTAGCCTCGATTTCTCATGAAATTACTTTGAACATTCATGCATTCCAATAAAGGTCCGTGGAATTTCAATGCGTTTGTATTGTTGAAGTTGTACATTCTTTACTTTACCGTTGGTATTGTGAATATTTGGACACTGAAATGAGGCTAACCTCATATGAACGAGACCGTGATTAATAAACACAGCGGTATTTAGTTAATTCGAAAATAATTGGGATAGTACGCGCGTTACGATTGTTTGATGCATGAGGGTATCAAAACACGCTCGCATCATCCTTTACAAATACATTAGAATAATACGATATTTTTTTTCGTTTTTTGGCGTGTTTGTTATTTTATAAAACATCAAAAAACAGTTTTCCGTGTTTGATGCTTTGATCAAAACACTTGGGATGTTGGGAGAACACTCAAGAAGCTGGGAAGCACTCCACTACGCATCGTGGTTTCCTACACTCCTCTCGTGTTCTCTCAACATCCCGCGTGTTTTGATCAGAGTATCAAACACGAAAAACTGTTTTTGATCTGTTAAATCAAAAGATAATAGTGCGCAACACTTTTTGTTTTAGGTACGCAAAATAAATACTTTGCAGGTTTTAGAGCTTGCCAATGTCAAAACGGGTTTTATCGGCTCGATCGCTTCGAAAAGTGCTACTCTTGTCCTGACTCTGGTGTCATGTGTTTCAACGAATCAATGACTCTGAATCCTGGGTACTACTGGCAGTGGATTTCCCAGTCAGAGAAAGAGAACTATATCAACTTTACCAACAACCTGCAAATATTTGATGACAGTTATAACAGGGACCTTGTTACGTTTCGTGGATCTTTCCCAAAACATTACCAGTGTCCGAGGTTAGAGTCATGTCTGGGCGGCCTGGATGCTAGATGTGCCGAGGGTTACACGGGACCTCTGTGTGCAGTATGTGATAAAGGACACTACAACCTCGTGTCAACTTGTTTCAAATGTCCAAAACTTGGCTGGCTTATCTTCCAGGTATTAATATTACAGTGCGAGTACTCCAACCAAAGCCACTTCGACAAATATTCCACAAATTAGCCAATCAAAAGTAGGAATCTAAACACTAGAATTGCTACAAATCTGACAAATATCCATGGGTTTACACGGCTTAGAAGACTGCTGGCACCTTTATTGTCGAATATAAACGTGCTGTCGCATAGCAGCATAATGATAAGATCTAACAGTGTCAGCTTGATAATATTTTTGTCTGGAAGAAACAAAATGTAATCATAAAGACTGTGTTTATACGGTCTCTAATTTGCTTTCCTGTCGTATGTGAAGTCGTACATTACTATTTTTCTATATCTTTGGTGACACAAATCACGACTAGTTTGCGAAGAAAATAAATTACAAGCTCTTTTTCATCATTTAGTTTTACCAACCGGAACAACGGATGAATATTTAAATTCAAAATTTGCGGCTAATCTATTGTCTAAATACTAAAACACTATTGGATAATTTGTGGAAAATTTGTCGAGGTGGCTTTGGTTGGAGTAGTCGCACTGTAAATAATAGAGCTTTTGATTGGGAATTAATATCATGAGTAACATAACGATAATAAACATTCCGTGATAAATTTTCAAAAAAAAGCCGTCAAAATACAAGAAGCTTGGTGAGTAATGATTTAAAATCACTAGCTTGTTCTGTTCTACCATAGTTAATAGACATTAATAGTTATTAACTATGGTTCCACAGATCAGTGTCATCTCTTTGGTTGTCGTAGCTGTATTGTACGTGGTCATCAAAGTAAAGCGACAACAGATCCAGAGCAAGCGATCACTTGCCGATATCATTCTTGCTCGTCTCAAGATCATTATCTCATTCTATCAAATATTCTCTAGTACACTGGATGGATTTTCATATGTCCAGTGGCCAAGTGCCTTGACTAAGATAAGTGAATACGCCAAGTTTGTTCAGCTGAATGTTCTCCAAATTGCACCTCTACATTGTTTTAGCTCTCGCTTCAAGATGAATGCTTACGATCATCTTGTTACTGCATGCTCAACGACTGCAATGGTCATCCTGATAACTTTGGTCTACTATAACTTAAAGCATCTCTATATTCTTAAAACTACCAAGCGTTCAGGAAAATCTGCCATTTCCGCAGACCTTGAAGCCAGAAAAGAGGTCTGCTACCGGAATGTATTCCTGTTCATTTTTGTAACTTATCCACAGACCTGCTCAACGATCTTCTCAATGTTACCAGCAGCCTGCCACAAAATCTGCCAAGACAGCAGCCAGACGCAATGTACCTTCTACTTGAAGGCTGACTACTCCATTACTTGCTTTACCGATAAGTACAATCGGTACGTAATATTGACTTATGCTGCTCTAATCTACCCTTTTGCTGTTCCAATTCTGACAGTCGTTATTCTATGGAAATATTACTTTAAAAACGTACACAAGAAACTGGCTAACAAGCTTAATGGAGAAGAGATGGGCCAAAACAAGAACGATGTGCCATGCCGTAAACAGACCAGTCAACAAACAAACATCAGCCAGTGTACCAGCAACACAGCTCCAGATGTCTACAGTATTGAAAGGGAAACCGTTAGACAAATCGATGGCCTTCCAGAACAGCAAGAGTCCAACACAGACGAGATAAAGGAATCTGCTACACACGCAGATTCAGGACTTGATAGCAATTTAGGGATGGAAAGAACAATGGTGAAGAACAAACTTGGAGAAATAGACGGAAAAGGTTCGGACAGTACCATGATCACTATCCAACCAATCATAGCAGGAATGAGCTTCATATTCGAAAACTATGCTGAGAATTGCTGGTTCTGGGAAACCATTGAAATGATGAGGAAGCTGTTGCTGACTTCTTCTTTGGCACTGATTGGTGCTGAAGGAAGGATGTCTCTTGGAGTTGCTTCCATTCTGTCTGGTAAATATCTTGATATGTTTTTTGTAGTAGGACATACATGGTGTACTTACACTGTTTGAATATGATAATTCTCAGGTTGTTATGCTATACTCCATGCTCACTTTAAACCAATTCCTGATAAGTTCGAGCATGTTCTTCAGCTGACGGCACTTCTCGTTACCTTTGCCAACACGTGTATTGGAATGATGCTCAAGATAGACCAGGGTGCTTTGCTGGATGCTGATGCTAAGATCATGGATTCGTGGATTATGACGGTTCTGCTAGTGATGGCTAATGTCATGGTTACGGCCCTTGTTGTTGGTGAGTCTATGTACCCTAATAGTTAGAGCAAGAACCATTTGCAGGTTTTGTAAGAAAGCTGTATACAGCAAGATTGCAAAGGGTCACTAAGATCATCTTTTTTATGTAAACGTATGCAACTGCAATTCAAAACATTTTCGTCAGACCACAAGATAATTAGCAATTCCAAGGATGACGAAAATAAAAAAAGCTGGATCGAGTTGGCATTGCATTCCATAGTGAGAATGTCTTAGGGAACATATTTCAAAGAATGGCGTGTATTTCGTCCACAATGCAGTGGAATAACAAATCGATCCAAGTTACGTTTTCCCTTAACCTCTATTTGGCTTATGGCGCTGTGCACTATTTTTAACTTTTCCTTTATTGATGGAATGTAATAAGCGCATTAGATACGATTGGTTCATTAAGAGAAAGTACGTTTGCTTGAGAAACATAAATAAGCAGAAATTGCATCTCTTGATTTCCTTCAACCGCCTATCACAAATGGTGTGTTACTAATCATCTAGTTAATCTACCTTTCTTTAAAATTCAGTAAAATATGTGATGGTAGTTGGTAAGACTATCTATTCCGTTATCAAAAACCCTCGCTGCTCTCTCGCTTGCTGTCTGTCAGTTATTCTAACACTTGATGAAGTACAAAGTGAAGCAAGGAGTATGGAAAGTAACATTGGATTGGAGATGAAAACACAGCTTCAAACTGGCAATGAATTCCAAGGTATCGATAAATATACTATGTAATTTCTTGATGTGTGGAGTATCAATAAGGAAAAAGTAGTTGACGCACTGGAGTAGGGTAAGGCGAAATTTGAACTGCATCCGGTTTCTAAAAATAGCCAAAACGGGAATTTACATGACGCGCGCGATATTAAGAAGTTTCCCTTTCTTATTTATGCTCTCTAGGTAAAATTCGAAACCACGAATTATTTTGAAACACATCGATACCTCTAATTTTAACCATAATGTTGAACTTGCTGCTTGAATACATGTATATCGATCAAGGAGATATACTCGTTAAAGGCTATATTTTTTGGATGTTTAATAATATGTTCTTTCGCTTTCAGGACTGTCCTTGGAAGATGCTGCTGGTGATTATGGTTTGACTGGGATTGATATGGACCATGATAAAGATGAGGATGATAAACTTTACGATAGTGAAGATGTTGATTATGGTGGCGGTGAAGGAAATCTCAAAGATGCCTACGTTGGTATAAAAAAGAAGGACTGAGCAACGGTAAAAAAGATATCTATATTAAAAAATACAATGAGTTCCACCTGAAATATTTGGCTAAACATATGCTATATTGTAGAGTAATAGTTCGCGCTTATAATTTGATATGTTTGGAATTAAAAATAATGCAAGTAATAAAGTAATAAATAGCAAATTAAGACAAAAAGACGCTTTAACCGGCTAACATAATCCACGCATGATTATTTTGTTGTAGTATAATGGCAGTAACCTTATAAAGCTTATGTAATCACCTTGACATAAAGGAATGGTTGAAGTAATCTTTCGATCAGTAGCAACAAGTAATTAAAGCGAAAAGAACGTTGGTGTATGTAATCCACACAATAGAGTGTCTATCGTTAATGAGTGGGAAACATACGGTACTGATAATGACTTACGGCACGTACTAAGTCGTAGTGCATGCTGTAACATTGAAATGGCTTCCCATAAGAATGTTTATCGTATGAGTGGGAGACATACAGTACTGACTTATAGCACGTACACGGTACGACATGCTGTACCACTATTCTATTTAAGACATTAAATATAACTTTAAAATTCAAAGTTTCAAAACAGAACGTTTTCAAGAACTCTTTTATAATCCATTACGTCCATAGATTCAATATGTAAGTTACCCCTTGTTTTGTTATGTCTATATTTAATTTTTCTTTCCTTATTTATATTAGACACTTGGGTAATTCAGTCTTATGACTGCAAGGTAAATTTCTTAATAAACTATTTATCTATCTATCTACCTATCAAGTTTTATCCAATGTCAGTAATGAATAAGCCGTTCTTTTCCAGTCCATGCTTATCAAACCTCTTAGTGATCATTTGCGTCCTTTTATTTACCTGTAAATCAATTGTATCCTACCTGTAACTTTTTTTTTAAACCTGTAACTCAATTTTTTTAAAATACTTTTCATTTTTCTCGAATTTTATTTATTGTTTGAAATCTTTTTTATTCTTTGATAGGAATTATCTGCTTCTGACATCCAATCTCTGAACACTACGTTCTGGTTGCTATATATTGACTCTTAGTTTCTTCTTTTGATGTCGAAGTTTACGTGCATTCCAAATTTACAATTAGTATTTTTGCTACAATTGTAACCATTGAGTGACCATTACAAACAACAGTATAGCTACGCCTCCCATTTGATTCAAAGTGCTTCATGAGAATCTCTCGTTCGTGATTCATATTTCTTGTCGTTACCTATCAACATCTTTATTTTGACTGTCCTTCAAAACAGAAAACTATAAAATTTTCTGTAGACTTGCTTAGATCCCTCGCTTTATTAAACCTTAACCAAATACATTTGTAACATCAAAAAGATATTTCTTAAACTTCTTAGCTCCCTTCAAAAGTATTGAATATTAACAAAAAATATTTTAAAAATACTTAAAGATTAGAAAAGTTAAGATATTAAACAATAGTGAAGCATCTTTAAAATGATACAATTGAAAACTGAAGTCAGTTTTCGTAAAGGTTTCGTAGAGGACAAAGACACGCTCGCGCGAAATCATTTAAAAACATTTTGTAAAAGTGATATAAAACGTCCGCTTGTGTCTATATACTGTGATCTCTTGCTCTACAGCTACCATCGACATCGTGTTTATATCACAGTATACAGACACGCGCGCCGTTTTATATTCCTAATATATATGTATATAAATTATCAAGTCTTTGATTAAGTGTTTTTAAACAATTTTTCTGTGAAGTAAAGGAGATTGTAGTTCCTTTTCTTTTCTTTTTTTTTTTTTTTTTTTTTTTTTTTTTTTTTTNTTTTTTCTTTTTTCTTTTTTCTTTTTTCTTTTTTCTTTTTTCTTTTTTCTTTTTTGCTGAAGAGCATTTTTAAAGGAGTTGGTTTGTCTGAGGTGTATATGAATTGATGAAAATTGTTTCAGTTGCTTGTCGGTCGCGCGAGGCTAACCGATATATTTCATCCTCCTACGAGATAAAAAGCACTTTCTGAATGGTAGGCATATGTACACCACAGTGTTAAAACTACCGTGTTTAGCAAGCAATAAAAAGCAAGCAAGAGGCTGTGTAACTGTACTTACGCACTTATGAAGGAAAACAAATTTATCGGCCAAAAAACAGGAAATCAAGTTCACCGACAGGAATTACTCCAGAGTAAACGCATCGTGACATGTTTGGGTATAGGGTACCAATATATGGCACATGAATTATAGTTTAATTTATACTGCAAAATAGAATACAGTGAACAAATTAATAAAATACCTCGGACATCCGTTACCGAGGCCCAACGAATTCAAGGTGACTCAATGGAGGGTTTATGCTATTGAGGTCAATTGAATCTTGCAGGCTGCGTAGCATATGTTGTGTGTATCAATTCATGCTTCAATTTAGAACAGAGTTTCTTTTTTTTTTTTTTTTTTTTTTTTTTTAAAGTTGTTTTTTTTTTTTTTTTTTTTTTTTTTTTTGACACGATATGTGTTTATTGCTTTGGCTTTTTAGGTTCTTCAATTGTACTTCTAAATATATGGGGTGTCATTCATGGTTTCCCCCTCAGACATTAGCGAGCCAAACCCCGTTGCAGCATTTTTGTTCTTGTTCCACAAGCAACTACACAGTATCTGTTTTAAAGAGTACTACGAGGATTACTAAGCAATTCTCTTATATATTTTAAAAGAACAATAAACAATAGAGACTAAACAATAATTAATTTTACGCAATCAAAGTTTTAAATTATGAGATATTCTAGCTTATTAATTAATTAAACCATGAATCTCCGTTGCTCCTTTTTGTCGAAGATTTATTGGCTTCATATCGTTGTTTTGGTCTCTGGTCGATCCTCATGTTCTTAGGGTGTTAATCGAACGATTATAAAAAACGAATATTTAAAAATAAACACCTTTTTAATTTTTATTGTTATAAATAGAATTACAGTTAACTTATTTGGAATCCAATATTAGAAAGATTCTCCTTTTATTCAACATCGTATTAAACCCTCTTGCACCTGTTAATTCCAAAACTTTTTTTTCTTATTCGCGATTAAAAAAGGGCAAATAGCAACCGCCATAGTAGAGCTTGCACAATTCATCTTCTTGTCCCTAAAGCTCGCACAAATAGTTGTCTTAGACGCTTTCAATATTCTGCTTCTATCCTATTCAATTCTTTGCATCCTGATCTAAAGCAAACTTTGTCGACCTCTCGACGTCTACCAGTGTTCCTATTGTTCCTCATTCTAAAAACTCAGGTGTAAATTTTTTTTCCTCGACAAACTTAACTCTGTAGATCATCTTGAAGACCTGCTGAGCTAATCTCATAAAATGTTAATGTGTCACTAGATAATTATCATTCTTCTAATTTCTGTTATGTCCATTTTCTGCCTAGTAAACTTTTGCTTGTTCATATTGTTAGATCGTATAGTTTTTTTAAATAGGTTTTTCAAGTTTTATAGTTTTTTACTTTTCGTTTTCGAGGGCCATAAGTTAGACAACTGTAAGGTTAATTATGTCCATTTTCTGCCTAGTTATCTTTTGCTTGTTCATATTGTTAGATTGTATAGTTTTTTTTAAATAGATTTTTCAAGTTTTATAGTTTTT